GAATTTGGGAAGCATGTTTATGTATTGCGGTCTAAGCTCAAAACTTATTCCATTTGTTTCGGGGAGCCTAATGCATGAGGGGATTGCATTCCTAATGGGATAGCACATATCCTGAAGAACTGGTTGATTTGTCATTTCTTGGATTGGTTCAACACGGATTAAACGATGAGAATTATCCCGAACCCAAATTTGCATACACCAAAACAATTTTTTTTTTTTAATTTAGTTTTTTTTTTAGGAAAGAAAGAAAGAAAAAAAAATTATGAGAAGATAAAGGAAAAAAATCCTAACTAAAACAAATCAAAGCAATCACTTTTCAATCAACTATAATTCTAGGGTTTAGTCTAACTCAACTAGACCAGCTCCTAACCAAAAACTCCTACAGTAAAAAGATCAAAGTTTTACCCAGGTAGTTAGCCAGGTAAGGATAGTACTAGAGGGTGATCAAAGATCAATTAAGTACCTCTTTCCTTGCGGAGCGCTTTACGCAACCCCTAAACCTTGCCTTAGACACCAACTAATCTGAGAAAACTTAAACCGGTTCACTTAAGGATTTCTTGTTCCTTATTGTGCTCGAATCCCTAGGGGCCAACGTCTAATGAGTTTTATTAGGCTTGGGTAGTGTAGTGAGGAATTAGTGATTTTTGGGCTAAGGAAAGGGTGATGAAATCTCTCACCTTATCTTGATTATGGGGTTTTGCCCTTAAAAATATTTTTAAGTGTGTGCCAAATCAAGATGCTCAAATCACTTGGTGAATTCCTACTATTAATATGAAATGCAACTCTATGAATTAAAAGCAACTAAAAATGATGGAAAAGAAAAATCTTTTTTTTTTAATTAGGGTTAACAATCAAACAAATAAGAAGGGGGGAATTTGTTTGAATTTATTATCTTGTTAGTAAATGTCAAAGTAGATGGTGAATTTTATTATGATCAACAAAAATAAAATCTTTTTTAAGTCCTAATTGTCTCTAATTGTGAAGAAGTAACTAAAGGGTGGAATTAAAAACTAGAAAGAGGACTTACCTGAAAGCAAATCTTTAAATCCTAGCTCTCCAATCCGCGATCTTCAAGCTCCAAGCGTTTCCTTCACAAAAAACACACAAGTTAAAGAACTAAAATAATTAAAACCTACTTAAGCACCTTCCCCGGCAACGGCGCCAAAAACTTGATGCGGCATAAACATGTACCAAAAAGATTGCAAGTGCACAACCGTGTCAAGTTATAGTATTTAAGATATCGATCTCACGAGGAATGTGTTTTGTAAGAGAAAATATGAAATCGGTTCTTATGTTGTGTGCGTGACAAGTAGGAGTGATAAGTGAATATAATTGTGAAGAGATTGAGAGTGTGAAAATGGTGTGTGCATAGGTGCAAAGTGTAAGTGAGAGTGGATTTGAAAAAGAATGAGTATGATCAATAAGGTAAGAAGGAAAAATGAATAAAATCAAGAAACAAAAATAAAAAAAATCAAGAATGAAGAACAAAATTCAAGAATAAAAGAAAATGCAAAAAATTAAAGATGGTGGATTCAATTATAGATATGGGTAATCTAAAATTGAACCCACTTCTTAGAAAAGGGTGATTCCCTAGAGGGCTCTAGCCTAAACAAATTGCTCTTCATCTCCATCCTCATCATTCAACAAGAGGAGAAAGAACAAATTTAAAGAGGAAAAAATTATTTTTATTAATTGCAACTAAAGTTATAATTTTTGGAAGGCCTTCTCAATTAAGAGTAGCCCTCCTCTCCAAAAGGAGTTTACAAATTTTCATACCCTTAACCCCTCACTCTCTACCCCTATTTATAGTAATCTTCAATGAATATGAGCCATTGAATTTGTCTTGAGCCCCAAGCAACAATCTTCACCTTTGAATTTGCTTTTTGTTCTTCTCTAATCCAACATAAGAGGCCTAATTGATTTTCAAGAAACAATTGAAAATTAAGTTGATCCATGAAGCAATCAAGTCCAGCCCATATGGAAATTAAATCTCCAGCAATCAAGTCCAATGATTCATTTTGATTTTCAAAGAAAAGTTTCAACCCACATCCGGTCGTCATTTGATCAAAAGCCAAGCAAGCCCAATCATCCGGTCTTCATTTGATCAAAATTAGCAACCGGCCCATAGCAAAATCTGCAGTAGCCCATTTCCATGATTTTCTCATTTGATTTAGAGCTGCAGCAAAGTCCAAGTCCCATTCAAATGATTTTCAACTCCAAATCAGCCATCAGCCTATCAAGTCCGGTTTCATTTGATTAAAATCAAAATATGCAGCCCATGTCCGGTCTTCAAATCCAATTTTTTCAGCAAAGCAGTCCGGCCCACACATCTGATTTTCAACATTAAAAGCTAAGAGGTGCAGCAGTCCAGCCCAATATGATTACAAATTTAAAAGCCAAGCTGCAGCACCCATAGAAAATCCGGCCCATTGGCATTGATTTTGAAAATTAAATCCCAATGCTGCAGCACCTCAAAGTCCGGTCCCTAGAGATCCTCCCCATTCAAATGATTTTTCAAAAGAAAATTGAAGAGCAAAGTCCACAAGTCATTTGCAAATAAGTCCGGTTTTGTAATCTTGAATAAATGCATAAAAGCCCACTTCATTTCAATTATTTGCATCCAAGTCCACGTTTGATTTTGAAATTCCAAGCCTCTACAACCAAGTCCAGCAGTCCGGTTCTATTGGCTTTTTGCTTCAATGTGCTTCTAAAATGCTACAAAAATAGAGAAGAGAGATTTTGAGGGGTTTTTATATTTAATAATATTTATTTATATTTTCATTCATTTATGTGCAAACTAAGCTAACAACAATTATTAATGGTATATTTATTCATGTAAAATAGATAATGAGGATATAAAATTGTAATAAAAATATGATTATCAAAATTCTAATAGATAAATACCTCTAGAGATAATTAATTTCAAATCCTCCTAGAATCAGGATTAGCTTTAACATCCTCCCTTAATCTTGATTCTGTAAAGTGGTCATTCCCATCAAACGCTTCAACTTAACACATGCTCCAAACTTCAATGGTTTAGTGAGGACGTCACAATTTGATGTTCGGACTTGTAATACACCAACAAGATATCGTTCTTCCCAATATTGTCTCAAAAAAATGATAACAAGTATGAATACGCTTACTCCTCCCATTGGTCACTAGACTCTTCGCCAAATCAATTGCGGACTTGTTGTCAACATAAATCTTTATAGGACTTCAACTTGAACATAAATGTGACCAAGCACATTACGCAACGAAATTGGTTGACAAGCACTTGACGCCGCTACTGCATACTCCGCTCACACGTTGAGAGTGCAACGATGGATTGCTTCTTTGACGACTGAGAAAATACGGTGGAACCAAAGTTGAAAACATAGCCAGAAGTGCTCTTATGATCATCATGATCTCCACTCCAATCACTATCAGAATAAAACCTACAATATCACAATTGTTATATGAATAATAAAACAAATTATGATCATAAATCGCCTTTAGATACCGCATAATTCTCTTTGTAACCTGTAGATGAGATTGGAGAGCGGCCTCCAAATATCTACTGATTAGACCAACTCCATAAGTCATGTCTAGTCTTATACATGTAAGATATCTCAAACTCCCAACAATTTGCTTGAAATAAGTAGGATCAACTTGTGCATCCTGACTTTCTCGAGATAATCTAGTTCCAACCTTCACAGGAGTTTTAACATGATCACAGTCAAACATCTGAAACATTTCCAACAACTCTACACAATACCTCTTTGACATATGAAAATCTGTCAATTCATCTCTATGTTAAAATTTCTAACTGCAGTTCGGTTAAGTCTTAACCCACCGTGTGAATTTATAGCGATGTCCCTGCATATACGACTACCCCCCCCCCCCCCCAAAAAAAAAAAAAAAAAATCCACCAAACAAAACCACCACAAATAAAAAAAAGCAGAACTGAAAAGCCCTTATTTTCCAATTTTTCCTGTGCTCTAAAAGAGTGAACATCTCTGATTTGGTTTTGGGGAATTTTGCCATTGAAGAAGGGTTTGGTTGGTTATGAACCCACTATAAGGGATGGGTGAGACTTTAAATGTTAGTGTTTATAATGGGAATATCTTTCATTTCCGTTAGAATTATCTCAAGTTCACCCTCATTATTAACTAGAGGAATGAATTGACGATAAAATTGATGACTCGGAGGAGATTTTGGCAAATATTAAGATTTAGCGAGCGGCTTGGCGATTAGAGATGAAAGGGCTAATATCCCCCAAAATTGGTGATGATGTTTCCATCTAGTGGACAAGTGCAAATAATTACTGGTCGAGACTACAAATAACTAGGGCTGAGCATGGTTCGGTCCAAACCGAAAAAACCGACCGAACCGTTCCGAAAAAATCGGTTTTTTGAGTAGGGCGGTTCGAGTCGGTTTGAAAACTTTTTAACCCGAACCAATCCGAAGCGACCGAATATAGTGCAATACTACCCATTCTGATCTTAAACCCTACCCGACCCGTCCCCAAAGAGTCAAAGACTCAAACCCTAAACTCATTTTCTGAATCATTATGGGTTGAAAACAATATTATTATATCAGTGTATAATGCTTCATAATCTCCTACTTTGTTGATATCTTTTTTTTCTTTAATACAGTTTGTTGTTTGATAAGAAGTTTGATGAAGTTAGAACCAAACAAACCGAACCGAACCGCACCGAACCGACTTACAACAGTTCGGTTCGGTTTTGAATTATAGACGGTTCGGTTCGGTTGTTCAAATTTTAGTAAAACCCAAACCGAACCGGCCGTTGCACACCCCTACAAATAACGCTGTGCATGCTGGATATTTATTTCTGTGTTGACCATAAGCTTCCAGAAAAGGAAAGGGTGGGCGTGTCTATTATTTTAGCAATTTAATCCCTCTTTTTTAAACGTCATATTTCCACCCCCTCCTCCACACATATAACTCAAAATTTTAAATCTGTCGCCTCATGATATTGATTCCATCTTTGAACATTTTGTAAAATTAGAAATCTAGAATGAGGGTATTAACGTCGTTCTATACTCTCAAACAATCAATATCCAATATTTTCCTTCAATTATTTTCCAAATTTTGTTAGAGTTTCTCATCGGGGACGTTGAAGCAAATCGGGAAAAAGTAATGAAAGAGGACAAAGTGGTAATTGAACATCCTGTCGACGATCGTTCCCAAGCTATCGTCGTTGTTGAGAGTAGGAATTTTAACGATTTGAGGAATTTTACATTTTTATTAATTATTAATTTATCTTTTCTATTTCATGTTTGTTTTTTGTTTGAATATTGCTTTTCATTTGAAGAAACTTCCATAATTTCATTTTTTTTTTGGGTAAGAAATTGCTTTGGTCAGGGTTAGCAGGAGATTGGATTGTTTTTTTTTATTTTATGCGCATTTTAATTTTTTATTTATTTTTATAGATATTATTATTAGTTTGTACCCTTTATAAGAAAATTATTAAGCATGTAATTCTTGAGAATTTTGGGAAAAGTTCTCATTATTATTGAATTTAATTACTAAAGCAATTTATAATTCTACCTAATTAGCTAATAGTTATATATTTGTTTTTTTATGGGTAGCTAATAGTTATATATGAAATTACATATTTATTTCGACGATAATCGGAATAGGATAAAGAGAGAATCTCATTCTATATGTCAGTACATTTGTTTATGTAATTACAAGCTACATTAATCTTCATATATGGTGGTTAAATAATTGTGTTTTGCTTAGCAGAGTTCAAAGCGACCCCTTCACCAGAGCGCTCAGCCGACAGGGGTGAGTTCTGAATAATAATCTCAATTAGTTTAAATTTTTCTTTCATCACGTTAATAGGAACAAAGAAACTTTAGAGAAATTTCTAATGTTGGACTTTGCAGATGCTGCTCTCGCTCAAGTTGCAAATGATAAGAAAAACTCTTTAATCAAGGCATGGGAAGATAATCAGAACTCTAAGGCTGAAAATAAGTAAGATAAAAAAAAAGTCCCCTTCAAAAATAATGTTACTTTTCATATGAAAATATGATTTTATATACTACACGAGTAAATACAAAGCATGGTTAAAGTTGAAGAATTGCAGTCCTGTAAGCGACCTCTAGCCTCTAAGATGTACAAAAGATTTGTATCAAAGATTGAATTTAACTTTTTTTATTATGTGTGATTCTTTTTTCCCAAATATTTATATCAAAAACCTATATCAAAGGCTGCAAGTTTTGGGTATTCTAAGGTAAGATGGATAACTTGCTTTTCATGATTCTCACACCTGACCTCTCAATTGGAAACATTTAACGTTTTTCGCGATGAAGAATAACTAATTCGCCCAATTTATTGAAGAAGATAGCTAGGCTAGCTATTAATACTTTGATCCTCTGGTTCCTACTCTCTTCCAGTACTTTTGGTTTGTTCATGTAAATATCATCCTTCATCTTTTTATATAATATATATCAAGAACAGGGCACCTCACCCTGTTTATAACTTTCAAAAAAAAAACTTTGATCCGAAAGAAAGATTTAAACTTGGGAGTTGTGATGATTTACTTTCTTTATACTGTGAAACAGGGCTCAGAAGGAAATGGCGTCTATTAGTTCATGGGAGAACTCAAAGCTGGCGTCTATAGAAGCTGAGATGAAAAAGTATGAGGTGAGAAACTTGTTCAACTCATTATGAACCGTGCAATTGATATTTCACATTTGGTCATAATACTTATCATACCAGTCCCTGGAGCTAACATTGTTCTTGCATACACACATTTTGAGATTAAGCACCTCATCGCACGCTCTTTGAATATTTATGTAAGAGTTTTCAAGACAAATGTCTACATACCCAATGCGAGGGAAGATATTTATGTAGACGAGTGCTCTTTATTTCCTTGTAGACGAGTGAACCAATTTAACTGATTTATGAGCAGGAAGCTTTAGAAAAGAGAAGGGCTCGATATGCCGAGAAAATAAAGAATAAAATTGCGATGATTCACAAGGAAGCGGAGGAGAGAAGGGCGATTGTAGAAGCCAAGAAAGCAGAAAATCTATTGAAGGTAGAGGAAGAGGCAGCAAAATATCGAGCAACTGGGGTGGTTCCTAAGAAGGGCCACATTTGGTTCGGCTCCTAACGCTTTTAGCTCAACAAGGATTTCTCTCTTTCCTTGTTGCTTGATGCTTGTGAGCGTGCGATGCGTCTGAAGAGAAGCTTGTGGTTAACATGCAGTGTGTTCATTATGTATGGGAACATTTTTGCATACAGTGTTAAATTGTAACCTTTCAACACTGAGTACGGTCTAATGTGTATGTACATAGTGATGGTGAATCTGAGGTAAAAATCTGAGAAATTTGGCCTTCGACTGCCTTCAGGTTGAAGTACAGGCCGACATGACAGACTGTCATGCAGTTGCAATGTTTTCACAGATCATACCTCATCGCATAACGATACAATATAGGCAAACGAGAACCGCCTGAGCCCTGATTCAGAATGTTGTAAGCCTGGCAGTCATGAAAGTCCCGAAACCTTGTGGCATCGGAGATCCACAAGTCAAGTCATAGACACTCATCTACATCCACAAGCAGAAATTAAAACACGTATTACAAATGAAAGCCAAAGAAACACCAGTACCACAGCCATATCATAAACAATTCAACAGTCTTAGACGTTCATTGGATAGCAAAGTTGAAAGAGGATGGTCTACATGCTAGGAACAAATAAAAACATGTCCACAAATTAACTCCTATAAAACTAAAGTACAAATCCTGGAACATCTACTCTTAATATTTGCTTTCCAACAATGGAACATGGAGAATCTATCAATAAAACACCTCATTCAACGGGAATGATAGTAAAACAACACTGGTAATACTGTGGGGGGGAAGAGACCACATCCACTAAAAGAAATTAACTAAGCTTTGGCACAATTGTTTAGTCGCTGATTAAGAATATCTCTAGTGGTATGAAAAAAACTATCAGCAAAGGCCTGAAAGGACATACAAATAACATTCAGCTCCTCTAGAAGTGTGGAACCCATACTCAAAAGTTAGGCTATTTGCTGCATCAGATGCACATCAGAGAACTTGGGAGGCAATAAATGAGCCCTGCAATCAGATCAAAAATTGAAATTATCAATCAGTAACAAAGGGTAAATACATGATAATCTGATACTAGATATGCTTCAAATATGACGTTTTTTCTATGAAAAGGATAGATTTCACAAAGCGTCCATGAACTTTGAACTTTGGGGTGTTCCGCAGCAGTCCATCCTGAACTTTATAAACTGGAGAAAGCCCACTGAATTACTTCACTTATAAAATACCACAACTGACTACAGTTAGTTTATGTTGTCATCTGAAAGCACTAAGACAATTTGCCCCCATGTACTTAACATGTCTACTATATTATCTCCTCTTCCCCTTTCCTCAGACCTACACTTCACGTTAATGCCATTTATGACAATCACCGGTAGTTCATGGAAGCTTTGTATAATTTTGAAAGTTCAAACGGGTTTTCTTTAAATTACAAAGTTTGGGGTTCTGTGCAAAACACTCCCAACTGTCAGGGGTTCTTGAGAAATTTACCCAGAAAATATATATTTCTGTGATATAATAGCAAATGAGGGTGGCATAAGTAAAAAAGGTCACAAGTTTGAAACGGGTAGAATCATTTCAAAACCACTTCCAAAATGGTGACGATTTATTTATCCAAGTAGTAGTTTCTCATGCATGTACAAGTTGCAGACTTCAAAGGAATACTTACTTCAAGTCCATATATACAAAGGTCATGAAGTCAAGCAATTTAATTCCCCAAAACCATTGATTCACGTGGCAGACACAGATTATCTGCAATAAATAGCCTGGTCAATCTGTGGAGGAATCTGCTTTATCTCGGTTCCCAATTCTTGCTCGATCCTATACCTGTTTAAAAGCACATCTTCCAGGTATTAGCACAACAGAAGAAAACAAACACAAGCTTAGCTATGATGGAGCAAGTGCACATACAGGTTGAATCGATCCTCGTAGGTTATCAAATTCACTGCCAAACCTAGGTGACCATACCTTCCAGAACGACCAACCTATAAAATAGGGGGAAAACACTTGAGGGTAGAAGAGTTTGATGTCACCAAATGAATGATGCATGTTGCATTTAACATAATAACAGCATCCTAATACTTGCAAAAGTCACATTCATATGAAATAATGCCATACCCTGTGTAGATATGTTTCCGAATTCTTAGGGAAATCAAAGTTGATCACGACATTTACAGCCTGGATATCAATACCCCTAGTAAACAAATCTGAAAAATGAATAAGACAAGTATGTTATTATAAAATCGGGGAGTTAATTCCAAATAAAATGTGATCAAAAGGCAAGATGTGACTAATAAAGAACAATCCAAGCTTGAAAGAACCTCCTCCTAACCAAAAATGATAACTATCTTCTACCATCACTAGTCAAAAATCTCATGAAAACAAGATAAGCTCAAGAGTATTAAAAATTCACAAAGAGTTCTAGTAACCGACAGGAAAATAAAAGAGGGGTGGAGTTACTTTCATAAATTGTTTAATAACAACCAAACGAATGAGTAACATAGAGAACTTGACCATAGAGTGAATGATAGAAACTGTTGATATTGTCGAAAAATTAAGATTAGTTAAAGATGCTCTAAAGAAAATGATAAGTGAAAGAGACATAGGACCGAACAGTATCCCTATTGAAGTTTGAAAATGTCTTGAAGATATAGGCTTAGGATGGTTAACTAAATTATTTAATAAGAATATCGAGACAAAGAGGATGCCCGATGAATGGAGGATTAGCACTTTGATTCCAATATAGAAGAATAAAGGAAATATACAAATTTGTTTAAATTATCATGGTATAAAACTCACAAGTCATACTATGAAACGTTGGGAGAGGATAATTGAGTAAAGACTAAGAAAGGAGATAAGTGTATCTAAAAATCAATTTTGTTTTATGTCCGGGAGGTCAATTACGGGACCTATACATATTTTGAGACGGTTGATGAAGAGATATAGAGAGAAGAGAAAGAATCTAAATATAATTTTCATAGATCTAGAAAAAGCTTTTGATAGTGCCTAAAGAGGTAATGTGGTGAGTTTTAGAAAAGAAACATGCATATAATATGTATGTATGTATATGTGTGTGTGTGTATAAGTGATTAAAGATATATATGATCGAGTAACAACTAGAGTAAGAACTAATGAAGGAGAGACTAAATCATTTTCTATTATCATAGGTTTACACCAATGATCAGCCTTAAGTCCTTATGTAACCAACTTACGAGGCACATTCAGGATGAAATCTCATAGCGTATGTTATTTACGAATGATATAGTGCTAGTTAACGAAACTAGAAGATGTACAATTTCTAAAGTAGAAATGTGAAGACAAGCAGTGTAGAAAATAACGTGTTGCGTAGCGTAAAATAGCGCATAGCGTAACGTAGCGCCGCCCTGTCGCTACGTAGCACTGGAAAATAGCGTAGAAATAAAATGACGTACGCTATTTTACTCATAGCGTACACTTTGTAACGCGTCTTCAAGCACTTCACAGCTTAGGTTAAATTGTTCAAGTGTTGGGATTGATTTTTAAAAGAATTTGATAGCTATAATTGAGTTTAAGTGGGTGGACCCCACGCCTAAACCCTAAATCCTTGCTCCCGTCGCTTCTGCCCCTCCAGATAAAAAAAAAACCTTCATCTTCTTCCTTTGACTTCGGCTCATCAATTCCTTCGGCTCGCCATCCTCGTCATCATCCTCATCATCATCTCCGCTGCTCCCAGAGATCCCTGATCGACTTCTGAACTCTTCGCGCCCATTTGAGGACCATTCGACTTCTGAAATCATTAATGTACGATCTTAAATACTGATTTAAGTCCATTTAACTTACTCATGGTTGATTTTGTTGTGAAACTGTGATGATATATTGATTTGTGATAATATTTTTATGATATGTTTGAAAATTGTAATGGATTATTCATATTATTTGATTTTGAATAATGTATCTATAAAATATTTAAATAATAATAAATTATTTAACCTACGTTAAATAGTTACGCTATTTTGCGTTTTACGTTAACCGGAGGTGAGCGTTACGCTATTTTCAACATTGAAGACAAATTCTTGAATATAAAAATTTTAGAATTAGTAGAACAAAAACAAAATATATAGTGCATTTTAGTAAAACTAAGAAAAGAAAGAGCTTATAGTACATATTGATGGTCAAGAAATATCTAAGAGTAATCATTTTCGCTATTTAGGATCAATCATTCGGCACGATGGTGAGATTGAGGATGATGTTGTTCATCAAATTAAATCAAGGTGATTGAAATGGATGAGTGCTCCAAGAGTCTTATGTGATCACAGGATACCAATGAAAACTAAATAGGAAATTCTATAGGACGGTTATAAAACCAATAATGTTATATGAATCAGAATGTTGAGCAATTAAAAATACAAGTGCAAAAGATGTGTGTAGCAGAAATGAGAATGTTGTGATGGTCTTGTGGATACACACTAAAAAATACGATAAGAAATGAGTACATCCATAGTAAATTAGAGGTTGCTTCTATTGAGAATAAAATAAGAAAAAATCAACTAAGATTGTTTGGTCATGTACAACGGAAACTATTAGTGCACTGGTTAGGAAAAGTGATAGTATTATAGTTAATGTGGCTAGAAAATATCGAGATAAACCTAAATGATCTTGGTTGAAAGCAATTAAGAATGATATAATAATATTTAACTTAACGGAGGAGATATCTCATAATAGAATGGAACGGAAGAATATGATTCATGTAGATGATCCCAAACATTTGGGATAAAGGCTTTGATGACGTTGTTGTATTGATATCCTGAAACTTCATTAGCATAACAACAGAGTCTTCTCAAACTGAATGTGTACACTTGCATGTGTGAGTATGCATTGATATTCTACAATCAAGCACCTGAAGGAAAAGGAAATTTTAGAGCTATCAATTCCTGTCAAAAGCATTAGGCAACAATATATCCTCAACTAATTTGATCTGCCAAAAGCTATAAAATACTGAAGCAAACTCCACAAGATTGCTTCTTCGGTAAAAGGGTAATTAACAGATGCATTATTATAGTAACTATCCTATAGAAGAGTTAAACAACAAACTGTACCTATGCAAACAAACTGATGCATTATTATAGTAACTATCCTATAGAAGATTTAAACAACAAACTGTACCTGTGCAAACAAGATTCCTACATGCACCATTCCTAAAATCATGGAAAACTCTATTGCGATGATCCTGCAACATCTTTGCATGAATGTAAAAGCAGGAATATCCAAGCTCTGTGATTTTCTTCGCCAATAGCTCTACTCGGTTAACGGAGTTGCAAAATATGATAGACTGGTTTATTTGAAGCTGGGAAAATCAAAGCTCACAGTTACATCATGCTCAAGGACAATGTCACATGAAGATTGGAAACATGAGGTAGGTAATACTTAGTAGCAGCAAGAAAGAGCCAAACCTTTGAGAAAAGGGTATTCAAACAATGAACTTTCTGTCTTTCTTCCACAAAGGCATAATACTGTGTAATTCCCTTTAGTGTAAGTTCATCCATAAGATTAATTATGTAGGGTTTAGGCAGGTATCTGTCCTTGAAATCCTTAACAGTGACTGGAAACGTGGCTGAAAACAACAATATCTGCCGATTTGAGGGGAGAAAATGTATCAACTGCTCTATTGAAGGTTGAAACTCATGAGAGAGAAGTTTGTCAGCCTGCAGAAAAGGCCAAGTATTATCTTTTGTGGCCAAGAATCACACCCAAAAAAAAAGGGAACTTCATTTTAAAAATCTACTTAAATTCTTAGTAATTATATTCACTATGGACACATTCCAATTATGCTTCAAGAGCCAACATAGGTAAATGAACACAACATAAATCAAAATTAAAACCAAAAAGAAAATTTCAAGCATGTGTTCTATAAACGAAATTTAATTTCTCTTTGTCAACCTGGCAGAATCTCCATCGTCAGAACTAGATTTTATTTTGCAACTGAGAAAATTACAAAATACATCAGGTACAAGCTCAACACTAGAGATTAAAACACACAGAGCATCATATAAAGACACTAAAAAATAACTATGGTGTCACTAAGAACATGATCATAGATGTTTCATAATCCCACATGCTTCTCATGCAGATAATCATCACTGTCATCTAAGTATTTACAATCAGATAGATCTGAACAGATCAACTTTACATGGAAGGCTTTCAGAAACATTGGGGAAAAACTAAGACAAGCTAACATCTAGGTTGGCATTTAATTTGATCAAAAGAACCATGGAAATAGAAGGGCGTGTCATGAAACACAAACAGGACAGTGGACAGTCGGTGCTCAAAGAGACCTGCACTATTGATGTTGCAGATAAGCTCATGCAACCATCCAAAATCTCTTCGACTAGGAAATAATCTAGCACAGAGAGGAGGGGGAGGGGCAGGTGTTAGTACCGGGAATTGAATTAAACTATTGAGACATGACATAAATCACAAAGTGAGACAGAAACTACATTCAAAAATATGTAGAAACCAAGATATAGAACCTCAAATTATACCAAATTAAGGGAAATTAACATAAGCTGTCTGAAGACTTCATAATAGAGAAAAAAGGTTATGTAAACATGAGAAGCTTACGTTAACGCAAGGAAAAACACATCACAGAAGCAGATTTTATACGAATTTGACTAAAAAGTGCAGGATATATCTCAAATTAGGGAATGTCTATTGCATGAAAGATAGTGATTACAATGAGGGTATGAAAATATCAAGCTCTAGCTCTCAAAGAGTCAACAATCAGATGAATAGATAAGCACTTAAATATAATTTTTCATGACTAGATTCTTAGACATAGTTCTATCAGATAATAATAAGATGATACCTCATCCATTATGAGCATTGAGCAATCCTTCAGGACACAAACACCTTTTTTAGTAAGATCAAGTATGCGACCTGGTGTTCCTACAAGTAAATGGACTGGTTGGTACAGACGCATGATGTCGTCTTTCAAGCTGGTTCCACCCGTAGTGGCCATAACCTGAATCTTCAAATGTTTCCCAAGCTCCTTACAAACTTGTGATGTTTGGAGAGCTAATTCTCGTGTAGGAACCAATATAACAACTGCAAATCAGATATAATGTCTGTAAAAATTTATGCTTCAGAAAAATTAAATACGAATTCTGATATAACGCAATATAAAATTAGTAAATGCATTAAGGTGTTTAGCAACAAGCAACTAAAGTTGGGATGTAAGCCCTTGAAAGAATATCAGATAGCACATGACAATAGTAAACTTTTTTTTCGTATGACAACTCGTGATGATTTTTCCATAAGAAGATTAAAACTTTTTGGTATTAGCTAAAGTAAAAGCAAACCTTGAATAACATTTTTGTCTTGATCAATCTTTTCCAGTGCAGGGATACAAAATGCAGCTGTTTTCCCAGTCCCATTTTTAGCTCTAGCTAGAATATCACTGCCAGTTAGTGCAATTGGAATGCTTTCCTCCTGAATTGGTGAAGGTCTTTCAAATCCCTTCTCATATATTCCCATAAGTAATTCCCTCTTAAGAAAGTAATCTTCAAATTCATTTCCTTTAGTTGCAGTAACATCCTGCAAATGACATTAGATGCCATGTGTCTTAGAATGAACTAATATAGTCAAGAAGGCAAATTAAGTTTACAGAAGATTTGCACATTTAAATTTATAGCATTTTTTTGGAAGAGTTAACTGAAGCAATGTTGCTCTGCATATTAACATAAGCATAACATGGCTCCACAGAAGCAACGTCACAGATTTGATTTATGCATAAATTAAGAAGGCATCATAACAAAAAGTCATATGAAACAAAGCTCAATGAAACCCAGCTTCCTACTTTTCTAATTCACCAATGAGCTGATATGTTATGCTCGCTAGTGTTCTTTTAGTTTGGTATGGATGCACACTTTCAGTAAGTGGCAAGTCCCACATACAGCTTATATTCTATACCTTCAAGCGCTGACACATCCAGCGCTTGAGTACTGACACATCCAGCGCTTGAGTATTTCCCAGAAAGGTTCCATGAAATATATAATACAAGAAAAACTCAACACATCTAGTCATAATTTTCATGCTACAAGAATAAAGTACGACCTGTCCAAGTCAGCCTCAAATAACCTAATACAATTTTAAATCCATGATGAGACATGCATGATGTATATAGTAGAAATGGTCAGGATAAAGCATCTAATATGCAAAAAAAATGCAGAAGTGAATAGAACTGTAGTTTCCTTTCATATAATACCTATAACAATCACATAGATCAGAGAGCCTGGTTTTAGTAATTCAAATCATAGTTAACAGATAGTAGCCAGTTACAATTTAGTTAAGAAGATGAAGTTAATTAGGAAGTTAGCAAGCAAACGACCTATTCAAGGAAAGAACTTCAAAATTCCTGAAATATTCCTTAACAAGAATAATGATAATTTCCTTGCATTAGATGACAACAACAACAACAACAACAAAACCTTGAGAATTTCCTTGCATTAGATGACAACAACAACAACAACAACAACAACAACAAAACCTTATCCCAAATTTTTTTTGGAGCAGGCTTCAATGCCATTACATTAGAGAAAAATAAAAAATAAAGCTGCAGTATAAGAAAATTAATATGACTGCCTGCAAGAAAAATGTCTAGCAATATGATTTCATTACTACTTATAGTTAATATTGTTGCAGTAAGATAAGTTTTTTTTTTACCTCAGTCCTGTAACGTGTATCAGGTGGTGGTATCTTCAATTGTGATTTCCAATCAGGAGAGCTGAGACATCGAGAGAAAGAAAGCAGAAAGTAAGTGGCAGTCTAAATAATCCACTGTTGATTAACAAATTATTCGCCAATTAAAGGGAAACTTTGAAGAAAGGGAAAAACTGAATGTATAAACCTCACTCAACATTAAAGCATAGATGGTTCCTTCTGAGTGATCTTAAGAAGCAATATGCACAATAAAGAGTTGGTCATTGAAGAAAATGTTTATGATTTCACTACCTTTATTGAGGAGATCAAGTTTCACTCCTTCATACTTTAGTACATTTAAACATTATGACCCTAACACAAGCCAATATAACTTAATATCCACAATCCAACAGTTTCCTCAAGATCATTAGTGTGATACAATCAAATATTCAGTAGAAAACATACATAAACTGCAACTACGCATGCATAGAGTCATCACATACATATATACAACTGGTTGTAAAAAAATTCATCGCACGTCCACACATAAGTAGGTTGCTTATAGCAAAGTAGTATAATTCCAGTTATGTAATACTTGCAAAGAAACTGGCAATGAAAAAAAACACTACGTTTGAGACAAAACAAGCATGAGATCCAATATGTAGTCATATATGCCGTGTCAACTAGGTACAAGCATGAGATATATTACCAACAAAATATTAAAGTTATGCATTGTCATCATGGTTATCGTCTAGACTGTTCCCAGAATGGTAGGTTATCATGCAGAAGCACTCCGAAAAAACCTCCTTAGAAAGTTAAGTAAAACTAGCAACTACCATCAACCTAAAGAATATCCAGGCTATTTTTCCCTCATGCACAAAGAAACAACAGGAAAGAAGCAGTTCGAACAAAATTTAGGGGAATGGTCATCAACCAAAAATCCACGGCAAAAGATAGAAAACAATCTCTTATTTACTAACCAAAAGGTCCTACATCTCTGACATCTCTGAAACTTATAATCCATTTACTAGTGAATAAAAAAATAGATTTTTTTTCAAACTTACTCCAATGTGTCTGTACTGATCGTTATCCAAGGAAATAGTAAATAGTAAATAGTGAATGTGATAGCTAATAATGAATGAAGCATATTAATTTGACTCTTTGGCATCAAAAGAACCTAGTCATAGTCACTCATTCTCTAAGACTTCCATGTGCCAACTTACTCTGCACCACATCATTAATCATGAAATATATGAAGTTTCCATATGCCACACTGAATAACCAAAATTTTGAATAATACATACCCATTTCCACAAACAAACGATCAACAAATATCAGTAGAAAAGAGAACATCTGCTTCAAAAAAAAAGGCAATGCAAAAAGGTTAATCATGACGATATTTTATTTAAAAGAGTGCTAATAAGTAATGAATTGGTAAATATACAAACAAGTCATCTCGCAGTCAATTTTGCAAAGCCATAGCTAAACCTTGTATACGCCGAAGCATAAAAATTTAAATTTACATATTTATTCACAATTTTCTCTGAAGCATTATCAAAAGAAAAAAGCACAATTTTTTTTCTAACCTAGTATCACTACTAACAGATTGAACTGTCAAAATTGGAACAATACAGTCCCATTATCAGCAACAAACAATCCAAAAATTGTTAAATTGCAGGAGGTTAAATAATTAAAATCAGTCAGCATTTTCTCAAGAACAATTTTTCACTTCAGCCCCATTTAATTTTTTTATTATTGAAATCGACCCTTTTTTTACCAAAACCGACCCGATTTCTTGATTAGCAGCTTAATCACCTTCCTAGTTAGTCGGGGTTGGTAACCTGACTATTTAGGAGGGTGTTAAACCCTAATTAGAAGCCTTAAACCCTAAAAATTAATGTCCTAAATAGTCGGGTTAGCAACCCGACTAATTAGGAAGGTGATTAAGCTGCTAATCACGAAATCGGGTCGGTTTTGGGAAATAAAAAAAAAGGCCGATTTTAATAATAAAAAATTGGAATGGAGCTGAAGTGAAAAATTGTTCTTTTCTTAATAGAAACATTTAAAATAAAGAAAAACTAGGGTTTCTTTCTCCAACCTAGTATCAATACTAGCAGACTGAACTGCTCGATTCGATTCACTGCCACCAGAATCACTCCCAATCTGATTCCTCCTCAGCCATTGCTGCTGCTGTTGCTGATTCTGCTGCTGCTGATACTGCATCAAATTCCTCTGTACATACTGCTGCTGCTGCTGCTGCTGCTGCTGCTGAGGAGGAATCCTACCATAATAACTAGGGTTAGGGTTTCCAACGCCCGCCCCTCGGCCTCCGCCGTCGCCGATCCCAGGCGGATACCTTCCTCGATTGTTCATCAAAATTTAGGGTTTTGATTCAAAGAGAGGCAGAGATTCCTGAGATCTGAGAAGTATTGAGTATTTTGAGGTCAGTGAGAGATCAAAAGGTGTGAGATTTTAGAGAGAGAGAGAGAGAGAGAACCTGGAGATTTTCAGGGCATCGACGAGATGAGAGAGAGGGGTTATCAAATGACGAAAAGCTCCTCGGTCGTCTATCTCATTTATTTAAAAATCGTCAGTTGTTGTTTATATAGGTTTGTCGTTTTAGCTGATTTTTGCAATTTGGACCCAGGGTTAAGTAGAAAATTGGTATGAACTACCTTATTTCAAAATCTACTAATTTGATTCCCACATGGGATTTTCATACTCATCTCATTTAACAACGTTAAAATTCATAGGGGAACTTAGCAAATATGCACACTTGGAATATATCTGAAATATCAGAGATTTGGGGGTATATAGGAAAAAGACCCTGTTTTTTAAGAAAAAGAAGAGAGATTCTTTATCATTTTATTTGCTAATGAAAGAAATGTGAAAGCACAGAGAGATAAATTAACATAACTTTATATGCACACTGGTCACGGGAATGAGTTTGTCTTTTATGTTCTACTTTTCAAGCGTCGGTGTTCTATTTTTAGCAAAGTACTTGGATGATTCGATATCTTGAATACTAAAAAGAAGAATATAGCTTTGCTAAAAACGATCTTATTATTTATATAAAATTTGGCTAATTCCCTCAAGTCAAGACTAGGAACATCTTGGCCGAAGGCTAGCAATTTATGTCTCATTTCTTCTTGCATGCAACCCCATCCCATAGAATCACACCAAAAGCAAATAACAAATGAGGAGATATCCTCTCCTTCAACTTGTCCAAAACCTTCCCCTATCAACCAAAGTTTTCTTTCCACAAAAATAGGTATAACTTCCTCTTGAATCCATCTCCCTCTTCTTTTCCCACCATTAACATCTTCTACCTTCATATAAATTTCTCATCTTAGAACCTTGCTTTGTCAAGAACTTGTGAGATCAAAGTACAAGGATGGTTAAGCTAACGTTGATAGCAAGATTGGATGATGGCCTCCCTTTAGCTCAATCACCCGTGTACTTAAATGAAGAGAATGACGTCTCGTCTTACTACAGGCAGCAAGGGGAACTTATTCTTAAAGAGATCTCAAGAGGGGCAATATCAAGTCCAAAAATGTCCATTTTAATTGATCACCATTGTTTTCAGTATGTTACTTCCTTCTTCCTCATTTTTATTCACCTTATCGATATGGATTATCGATATGTTTCTTTCTTGACAGTTATATCATTGGAAATAGAGTTTGTTGTATTACACTCTGTGAGTCATGGTACCCGAGAAAATTAGCCTTCTTCTATCTTCAAGATCTCCTGCAAGAATTCGAGAAAGTAGATACGAAATTGATGGAGTCGTTTTCGATGCCATATACATGTAGAAGATTCGGTAATATCCTTTCATCTTTTTTATTTTCAAATGCATTTCGGACATTTGTGCAGAAGTAAGGATAAATTTTATGTGACGTTTTCTACAGATTACGCGATTGAAAACATCAGAAGGAAGTATTTGGATACAAGAACACAGGCTAACCTTGCTAAGTTGAACTCAAACCGCAAACAAGACCTGGATTTTGTTACAGAAGAATTCTCCAAAGTTGTTAGTCGAGGGCAAGCATCGGGTGAAATCCTTCACAGACTTATATTCTAAATAAATCTTATCATAGATTATTTATAAATGGGTCAACATATAGACCTCCCAATAGCAATCGTTGTTTTGGACTTACTAACCCTGTAGTTTCATTTTGGTAGAAAGTCCCCTGAGTTAAATTTTCTTGACTGGTCCTATACATAGACTCGCTAATTTTACCCATGGGCAATATATGCCAAAATTTAACCCAAGGTACAAGATTCAAAAAATTTTAACCCAGGGGTCTATCTGCAAAAATGAAACATGGGGGTATTAAGTTCAAACAGCGATACTATACGTGCAAATTAACCCTTTATAAATGTCATCTCACTAGGAACATAGACTCGAGTCATGCACTAAATCTATAGTGTTGCTCATGATAGGGATGGAACAAACAACAGAAACAAACCTGCAACCAGAATCAACTCTATGGAATTCTAATCCTCTTGAGGTAATATCTATCTTGCTTAAGACCTACATTTTGCGAATAAGTACTAAGCATATGATTTCTATACGAGCAGGTGATTGCACTCAAATGGACACCGATAACTGTCTTTATGCTTGCCACTATGCTCCTCTTATGGACCGGTGTTTCCCTCTCAGAATATCCTATGCCAATGTAGCTCACAAATATTACCAGGTAGCCAATACCTCAATTTAGAGAGAGACGCAGAAATGAAAGGAGCAAATACAATCAATTGCGGCAACGAAAAGATGCGCCAATGTAATAATGATCATCATTGGCCTAAATGTACATCAGATGGATCAAATATATGCATGTGTTTATCAAGAGAATGACCAACCTAATCTTGACACAAAGAGAATGCTACAAACTATCGCCTAATTGTGGATAGACCCCCTATACCATCGCCCAATTGTATATGGAACCCCTGTAGTCCTATTGTTGCAAATGGACCCCTGAGTGAAATATTTTGACTCTTTCACCCTCAAAGAAAGATAAATTTGTTTATTGATAAATAGACCTCCAGAGCGTAAAATAGTCCAAAATCACTGGGGTGTCTATCTGCAATAATAGAGCTACATGAAGTCTATCGGCAACTAACCCTAAAACTATAAGTAAATGCCACGCATCTTGGCAGGCTCCTTGAAAAATAGATTGTCAAAATATTAGCTCAGCTGTCAAAGCTTTCATCATCAACTAAAGCTAACTTTTTACTTCTATTGACAGCATCAGATACACAGTTAACAAATAGAATACCAAAAGATTACAATAAGTCCAGCATGACTGTTCATTCATTAATTTTTATTTTTATGTTTTACGGTATTTTCAAATACATCTTCTAGCACCAAAAATACTCTACAGGCAACAGATGTTCCTCCAGCAATCACCAACAAATAACCAAACACTCCAAAAAAAACAAAAAACAAAAAAGGAAGCGAATTCTACACATAATCAAACTAGTCTCACTTGAATTTTCTACACCATCTTCAACTTACTGATTACCGGCACCAACTGTTTCTTGCAATGGCAACTCCAAAGTACTCGCAACTTTCTCTTTGAGCTGTGCTGAGTCCAAATTGGCAATAATTCCTTCCCTTATTTCATTAATCAATTTCTCTACCGTTTCCTTACTTGCACCATTTGCAATCTCTGTCTTCAACTCATCAATCTTACTATTTAAACCAGCCGCGTCAATTGCCTTCGCAATCTCCATCTTTATAACTTCATCTGCCTTGGTTAATTTCTCCTCTAAAACTGGTGGTTTTGTTGGTAATATCTTTTTTCTCAATCCCACAACTTCCAAGTTCAAAGACTTGAGCATCTCCTTTAGCTCTTCCTGTATCATATTCACCTCCTTAATCTCATCCTCATTTAACTTCTCTCCCTTTGCTACTCTATCACGTGCCATTTTCAATATCTCCGTTTTCCCCTTTACCTGTTCATGGAGTTTTTGATTTATCTCACTCTTCAATCTCTCTGCTTTAATTTTATGCTCTCCTAGCTTATTGACTTCTGATAACATTTGAAGCTTCTGTTTTAGCCCAAGATAGGATCCAGGACGAGATAAATTATGCTTGAATTCTTGCATAAGCCTATCTGCCTTCTCCTTCAATGCCGGACTAAGGGACTGATCGGGTGAGTTTGATGGTGATTTAGATAACTCCATTTTAAGGGATTCTAGCTTTTCTTGAAGCCCCATTGAAATGAAGGCATTGGTCATTTCCTTGTCTAAATCTTGTTTCAGTTTCTCTACTGCTTCATTAGATATGACAGGGCCAGGAGATTGACTCTTACCTTCTAGAGCTGCTTTCTTGAGCTTTTCGATTTCGACTTCGATGTCAGCTGTTGCTTGTGAAATGTCAGCTTCTTTCTTCTTCATGTTCCTTTTTTTTTCTGGTTCAATCGGGCTGCCTTCTAAGAATCCCCCTAGGTTCCGGAATTTAAGATGCCGGTGATTAAGTAAACTGTCTGTGTCCATTTCACAAAGTTCCTAAATGATACAAATCATAAAGAACATCAATAGGAATTAGAAACAAAAAGTCTATAAAGGAGAAAAATAATCAAAGAATGAACTTTGGTATGACATTTACAAAAGTACCGCAATAAAACAATTTTCGCAATTTCAGCTCTTTGCTCCAATATAGTATTTAGATAGCATCTTACATACAAGGTTCACCAAAAAAGAAAATTTATTTTATGCATGTGTGATTTCTTCCACATAAAACCGTGTCCATTGTCTTTCAAGTTAGAGGTGTCTCAAGTGTCATAATGTAAACACTTTTGGCCTACTACTAATCTAAGAGCTTAAACTTTTCATGTGAAGTGGTAACTGGAAACACATGATAGCTGGTTATGGATCAAGCTTGGACTTCTTGAAGAGCCTTCTTTTGATCTTTACATCTATAATATTTGTGAGCTTATTTACTTTGATTTGACTATTTTCCAATACAGTTCCAAATTATCTTACCCCTAAATAATGATAGGAATATATCTCAGTTAACGTGATGTTTGGTTGTGGAATGCAATTGCTACAGACATCATGAGCAGGTAAATCCAGTTTTTGTACAGAAAAGTGAAATGACTGTATGAGTCCAAGATGATATATTCCCATTATTTTTCACTTTCCTACTCCTATTTCATGTTTTTCTTATAGACCAACTTACACCAGATAGAACCTTGAGCGTACAGCTCACAGAGTGAAGGATGAATGTCAGCAGATGCAAACAACCATGTTTCTGTCAGATGTTAAAATAGATGGGTTTGGCCTTTGATGTGTGGAAAAATGATCATTTCAACTTCATCAGGAGCAATGGCTTTTACATGAAAATAATAATATGTTGCAGAAAACTCAGTTGTAAATGTAATTTAACAGAATTCACTAATGAAATATTTTAGATTCAAAACATTCATGTACGTTGTACAACAAGTGGCATATACTTGAGGTCTCAAAAAACGAGTAATACGAGATTGGTAGGCTTGACTGAGTTGCATTGCAAGAACTACTAAAGGGGAAGAAAGTGATTACATAACTCTCATGGATTTGTTTACAGAAGGTTTTGATATCTACTTTAGGTTTCCATAGTATCATATAGTTTGCCAGTATTTAGAGAAATAGCTATAGGCTAACGGATAACAAACATATTTTCCAAATCAAACTTCATGACCAATCCATACTGTTAGATATGTTTAGATACAAATATTATAATTATATTGAGAGGAATGCTGAGGACAAATTGACTTCATTATTAGCATTAATTTGCTCTCTACAGTATCATTTACTGTCAAAGCTTCGAAACAACCTGACCCATAAACTTAGAAAATTAAATGATAAAAATAACCAAATTGTACATTTCATGCTTTCCAAGAAAGCCGTTTCCAACTTATATGCAAGCGTAAAGCAAGATTTACCTCCATGGCCTTTGTAACTGTTAACTTTATTTGTTGGGAGGTCCAAGCCGGGTCAGTGTGTGCACCACCAAGAGGTTCCTGTGATCATTGATCACAGAGAAAATGTTGAAGTAAAATTGTTAAAGAAATATATTCAACAAATTAGATTTGGTCCCAATAATATTGGTCCTGACGGAAACAGTGATTGCGAAGGTAAGAGCTGTTATATGTTAACCAAGTTTATAAGATCAAATGCTAAACAAGAAAGAACCTGCAGTCATAGTTGATGGGACAGGAACTGGAATAACAATCATTTAAATAAGAAATCTTTTTGAACTATTTTAATCAGTTATATGATGATTTTTCAGGTTTAGAATTTAGATCTCAAAGTCCATGCTAAGATATCCTTGTGCTTATGTGCATTGCCATAATAACCATCCTAACTATACCAAATTTGCAGTTCTTTTGGGCCAACGAAAAGAATGCATGAGGAAAGTCGATTATCCAACGGAGACAACAATATAGATACTAATTCCCTTAAAATCTAGTGAGATCCTTATAGAAACCTACCTCTCTATAATCTAGTAAATAAAAAATTATAAGGTAACTGGTAATGCCTTTTATCTTCTGCAGTTCAGGAGCTTATCTCGATCAATGAACATGGTTGTTCCGTTTGTTGGTTCAGGTTCGTTATACAAAAATTCTCATGTTTGCTTTGAAACTTTAAATTTTCTAGAAAATATGCACTTACTAGTAATTTAAGTGAAAATTGAAAGGAAAAAGATGAGGGAAAGGAACACTAAGTTTAAGCACTAACCGGAATGATTCCATCTGCAATTTTGAGTCTACATAATTCATTAGCTGTAATCTTCAACTTCTCAGCGGCCTGAACAAGCAACAGAAGACTTATCACATTCAGAAGGCATTCACAGCAATAACATTATTAAGACAAAATATCTACCTTGGGGGCTGCTTGGGAAGACTTCCAAAGTATTGCTGCACATGCTTCAGGGCTGCATATGATAAACATAATGGTAAACTAATATGCACAAGAACATGAATGTATGTCTGCTTAGTAGTGAATAAACTAGAGGCAGTCACATGACCAGAAACTCTTAAGCCTAATGGTCTGGAAACAAAGACATAACATGAGCCAAAAACTTCTTGAAAGCACAAGTAAATGGAGTCTGGTAGTAATCACTGGCGTGCAACCGATAGAATTTAGGCCTGACACTAAGATTAGCTGCCCTTGTCATCCATAGCGAAAGAAACAGAATTTTTTTTATTTGTATAGAGTAGTCTGAGAGTTGTGCAGTTGCCCTGAGATTCTCTCAAGGGATACAATCTCTTTACATGTCGGTATTCTAAGGTAAGAAATAATGATTACAGGCGCAAAACAAATTAATGTGTATAGCCTAAGTTGCATGAAAACAGGTACGGGTACGGGTACTGGTACATGTGCAGGTACTGGTACGAGACACAAAAAAATTTGTAAATTGTAGGGTACGGGATACGGCTATTAATAATTTACATGAGATCATCATTGTTCATGAATTCACATGTTACTAAAATTAAAATTCCTATTATGTTTTTAAGTTTCTTTTATTATGTTGATTATCATATTTGGAAGATACTTGTATTTGAACAAGACACCTAATCGACCATTTAAAATCATAGTTTTGAACTTGGTATGGGCTAAAATGAACCCGGCCTACGTCTAACGAGATTCAAGATATGGACGTGAGCATTGTGAAGCGTGAGATATATATCCAAGAAGTGTTTGATAAGTGTTTTAAATTATAACATATAAATATAATATATAATTGAGCACGTGTCCGAATAAATGTTGCATATATCCAAGGGGTGTTAATGAAGTTTGGGTACGGATAAGTGTCGGGAACGGGTATGTCATCATGATCGAAGTACCTGGGTAACATAGTGTATAACATGCCCGTTCAATTGTCAGACAAAGGTACTCTCAGGCATTGTTTTAAATGTTCCTGATATAGAACGATATATCCCCCGATATATCCTTTTACAGGGCTTGCCCCTAACTGATATGGTATCTAAATATCCTTTACAGCTTTTTGACTATTTTGGGCGATATATCCCCAATATAGTCGATATATCAGCTAATATGTTGACCGATATATCCTTTTATATGACTTGTCACAAAATAATATACCGCGTTTGGCAATTTTTGGGCGAGATATCATGATTTTCCCATCATATAAAATGACATTTGGCCTAAAAAAATCAGACGAAATGTTGTAACATGTGATTTGCACTTTTGATTGTTTTACAAGGGTTAATTAGTGATCTTAAACATATATTATTTACATTTTGCATGGTTCGATTTTATTAAGTACGTTCAGATCACATTTTAGTGCATTATACTATATATTCAAACGTTCGTTATGACGTTCTGATATTTACCACATATCCCTAATATCTTCCCAATATCCGCAATCCGATATGAATTTTGACCATCTGGTATTTCCCCATCATCCAATATTTAAAACCTTGCTCCCAGGGCGCAACAGACACGATAGATGATAATGATAATTTCAAGGCATAACCACCATCATCTAGCCAAGCTTTCAAGGAAATCATGAGTGAAATGGATGATCCATATTAATCATTGGTTTGTGCCCTAGAGTAAATATATCCCTAGAAAAAGAGATGCGGTTCTGAAAAGTTGATAGAACACATCCAGACCCCCTAACCAAGCATACACACGGTAGACACCTTTCATTGTGACTCATCTGCTAATCTCAAAACATGTGGGGACCAAATATGGAGTAATCTAAGTATCCATTATGTAATCTGGAAAAAAATAGTGGCTAGTCATGCTTTTTGAAGGACAGATCAGCTTAGGTGCAGCTGATAAAAGGACAAAAGGTCCTAAAAATATATGACTTCAGCTTAAGGAGTTTGCATAAAGTATCTTTTATTTCCATCTGTGCTGAAGTTACATTACATATACAGGCTAGGAAACGCCTTAAAATACAGGTGAGCTCTTACAATTAATGGATTACATGAACACTGGCAAGCTAAACAGTGACAAGCACTTCCATTTTCCAGCCAATATTTATGTGCCTGTCATGCTGTTCCAATCGCTGTTTTCCCAATCATCCATTACAGTAGGAAAAGGACAAAACTAAACTCATGGTGAACATAACAGTAGATTAAGGAAGACAGATAATGCAATGAGAAAATTAAAAACTTAAATTTACTCAATAGAAAACAATAGTTTAATTGTATTCTGTATAGTCAGATCACCTGGCAACATAAAAGACAGAATTATCCATCATGAACAGTTTATTTGCACAACCAATTGCAAGAGCTCCACCAGATCCACCTTCACCAATAACAACAGTGACAATTGGGACCTTAAGACCAAACATAGCTCTCAAATTGTAGGCTATTGCTTCTCCCTGCACAGAAACACAATCAAACAAATAGCAAGTATTTGCATTGATGAACCCTAAACCAAGTAAAAGAAATAAACATGATTCTTACTTGACCGAGCTCTTCAGATTTCAGATCAGCAAATGCACCTGGCGTATCGATAAACGTGATGATGGGAAATCCATGGTGATCAGCATATCTCATCATGCGCAAGGCCTTTCGGTAGCTGTACAGAAGCGTATATTTTAAGCAACGTCAGCAAAATTGCAGAAGCAGATATACTGTAAGGAAATACTTTTGGAGAAAAGTCTTAACCCTCAAGACTAGTACGTAGCTTCGCCCTCAGTTCCAAAATTAGGAAACCAATGCAGTGTGTGTGACAGAGGTAGATAGATCAAGAGACTTTGAATATACCACAGAAAGAAAAACCTAGATCTTTTGACAGCTATGTTCTCTAACAACAATCAACTAAATATTCAATACTATAAAGGCATGCCCATCAACAGCAGATTTCAACCTTTATTTGGTGATATTTAAATATTACCCATGTGGAGTTGGCATCCCAAAATTGCGCTGAATATTTTCTTTTGTGTTTCTTCCCTTTTGGTGACCAATAAACATATATGTTTTGCCATCTATGCTTCCAATACCAGTAACAATAGCTGGATCATCATATCCTGCACGATCTCCATGGAGCTCCACCCACTGTGAACATAAAAACATATATTATGCATAGATGAGTTAGGGAATACACCAGAGGGAAGGCGAAGAGGGCAGGGAGTCGGTCATTAGAAAATACCTTGTCGGTGATGTTCAAGATATGATCAAGGAATGTTGGTCTGTTGGGATGTCGCGCAATAGTTAAACGTTGAATTGGGGTTAGATGTGTATACAATTCTTTCAAAGCCTGTAAAAACATTTGAAGACAATTAAGCATCAAAATCAGAAATAAGTAAATGAAACAACACACAAGAACCATTGGATATAAGAGAATTGGCAAAGTCAAGGAGATCAAAGTTCAGCAATTAACGCAGCATGTACATTCCTTAGAAGCTAATGCGTAGAATGGTTAAAAAAATTATGTTTAAACATTTTATTGGGGATATAATGGTTTGGAATCCTACGATGGATTATATAAATGCCAAAAAACTGCGAAGCGCTCTTGTGGGAACCACATATTGCAATAATAGTCACACGTCACTCGTCAAAAAATACAATGAAGATGCATGCAAACCTTCAAAAGTGTTTTGTTTTGAATACCATCAAACTATCATGTTTGTATAATCCTGCTTTATTTATTTGATATTTGAAAGAAATCAGATATGATATGGTTCCTTCATCAAGAAGAAAGGGGATTGCACAAGACCTCGTGACATAATAAAGATAAATCCTATAAGCTGACATTAATCCAATGTTAATTCGAATTAAGTGAAAGGATATCTATGTTTCATAACAACATCCCAGTATTTTCTCACAGTGATGGAAACCTGATATAAATATTTGTCAAGTGGCATCTGCTGATTTATAATTAAAGATATTGGAATTAAATGAAGATGAATTTCAATTGCGTAAATCGCATCTAGTTGACATCCTGCAATAGTTCTTCTTTGGACAAAGAACCACAATTAGCATGTGCCAGTCCACTAGCAACTGAAAAATAAAACTGTATAGTCTTAGTGAATTGATTTCTGTTTCCAAAAGAAGTTGCTATCGTTTTACCTTTTCATCAATTGTTTTCTTCATTGATGACAAACCTTCTTAAGATAAGGACAACTATCTGTGTTAGACATACTAAAAAAAGTAAATCTCATTTGCATGTAGATTTGGCTACACTGACACTCTAACCAATCAAATAAAAGTAGTTAGTACCTGGCTAAGAGATCAAAAATAGGCAGGCAATGTTATCAATACTCACAAAAGCTAGGCTATCAGAACATTACATAAAGCATAAGAGATTCTGATATAGGCAGATATTGCAAACATTAAAACTTTAGATAGTTATACATAATTACATATCATTACAGAAACAAATTCTATGTACGAAAAAATAAAAATGGCATACTGAAAGTTCTTTAAGACACAAACCTCCTGATACTTGCTTTCCAGTAAGTTGATCTGATCAGTGAAGTCCAAACCAGTTTCATTAGCCATTTTACGAACCTGTGAGAAAAGTAAGGAAGAGATAACAAAAGTCAAACTTTCCTTCATGACATAAAACTCCAAGGGTAAAATAAATCTATTGTAAACAATCTATATTTCAAGGTCTCAAAAATGTCTAGACATGCCAACAAGCAAGAAGTTAGGTAAATGTAAATTTCATGAAGACGGCTGATAGGACCAAATATATTGGAGCACATGTAATAATAATGCATATCCTACTTACGTTGACATACTCAGCTTTAAGGAGTAAGTATAGCCAAATATTGGGATTTATGAAGAGAACTCACATCGATGATCTTCTTCTCTAAATCAAGCAACGGCTTCTCAAAAGGAAGGGTAACCGGCTTTGGTTTCTCTTTGAGGGGCTTGAAATGAGATAAATAACTCAAATGACCACTTTCAATATTCGGATCAATATTGTCAGGCCATGGGTACTCATGCTTTTGAGCCTTTTTTATCCTTGCAGTAACATTCAATCTATAACCACTTCCACCTCCCGAACGCTTCAAACTCTTCAACCAATCTCCCCTAATCCCTCTAAATGGGCTCCTTGGCAACTCAGCACCAAAGACTTCCTTTCTCAGATTAATGTGTGATCCCAATACAAAACTGCAGCTTTCTCCTCCACTTATGGCAGCAGTAAGGATAAGAGAATTCATCTCCACAGCGGTAAGTGTCAACTATGAACCGCCTCTCAGAAGGCACATCCCTGGATTATCAAAATTAAAAACATCAATGGGAGAAAATGACAGCTTTTGTTTGCAATAGTGAAACTTTCTAACAAGAAAAATCGGGCGATCATGAGTTTCTTGTTAGTGTTGTTAGGAGAAATAGAAACGTATCCAGTAATCAAATTCAAACCATATTTTTGTTAATAGATTAAAACCCCTGAAAAATACACATTTTTCTGCCATGAACTATAGTATTCCGCAAAAATACTTCTTTCTTTAAGCATCATTTATACTACTTCAATATTGACCGTTATCGATTAAATTTGACAAGCATCAAATTTCGAAAACCTAAACTCAAAAAGCGAAAGTAAATAACATAAGAAAACGAGAAATCAAAATCATAAGCTATAAAGCTTACTTCAATTAGCTTGAATCCAATCAGTCCTAATCCATGACTTCTCCAATTATGATACGAAAAAATTGGAGCTTTATGAGTCACTTCCCTATGCTAATTGGACTCAAGGAACAATTTGAACAGAATGATCAAAACCTCCAATGAACTTCATCAAATTCAAGAAACTTACACATTTCAAAGCATGGGGCACAGTATTTCAACGAGGTTGCTTCATTTTTTAAAAGCATCAGTTCCAGTATCTCATAATTGAGATTTTTTTATTAAATTTCACAAGCACCGGATTTACGAAACCTAGAACAACTAAAAAAAAGGCAACATAAACTACAGAAAATAAACGAGAAATCAAATTCAAAAATCGCCCCTGAAAAAAATACCTGAAATCTTACTGTTCTGAGCCCGTACACTCGGTATCCGTCCAAGTAAACGCGGATCCAACGAGGAAAAAGATTTTGTGGAAGTCGCTCGATTTTAGGGTTTTCAACGCCGCGAAAAGTTCCAGTGAAGAACAAAACTACAATAACAATGGGAGAGAGAATATTAGGCACGCGTACGAATGGGGGAGTCTTTTTGTAAAAATTAGAATTAGAGGAGGGGTTACTTGGAAGTTCAACAGGGTAGTGGCCGGTGGCTTTGAGGGGATGACATGAACTTTTATGCGGAGGGTTAAAGTGAAAAAAGTTGATGAGTTTTGATTGGGGACAGGAGGCGGATAGGATTGGGTAGTGAGATGGTCCCACTTCCCGCGAAATTGGACTTTGCTCTTCGGATCAAAATCAAATCGATGTTTTACACCTCGCCTTGATGAGCTGTAGATTTTCATTTTTCCAGCAAAAGTTTAGGCAATAAAAAACAAGATAAAAATGGGCCTCCATTTGATAACTTAGTTCGAATTCGAATATCTACATCTCGAGTTTCTCGAATTCGAACTCGAATACCTGATATTTGGTAAATGTTTATGAATATTCACAAATATTTATTGAATATCAAAGCATATTTATTCTGTTAAAGAATTTGGTTTTCAAATAGTATTTAAATTTAAAAATGAAAATTATTCTTGTATCATTATTATGTATATATATTTCATTCAAATATTTCATTAGAAATTAATTTAAAATTCTTTAAGTCTCTCAAATTTAGTGTATAGAAATTAAATAGAAAATGTAAGTGGGTTGAAAATAGAACAACATATTGTAATAATACAAACTATACGCGATCAAAATTTAAATGACTATTTGATAAGCAAACAAATCGAATATACATCTCGTTAGATTCTATTCGTTAATGAACTTGAATATTAGGTATTATTCGTTTACAGTTAAATGAACTACCGAATTAAATTTGATTGAATAGTTACTCGAACAATTAACGAACTATTTGTTAATTATTGGTTCATTTCCACCCCTAGGTAGAGGTTAGCACTAATTAGTACAAATTGACTGAACCGGTCGAATTTCAAAGATTCGATTCAATTTTAGGAAACTTCAATTTAGCTCAGTTTTGAAATATTTTGAAACCAAAATAATCGAACAGACTGATCTAAAAACTTTCGCTTTTCTAGGTAAAAGATAATTTATACTAATAGGTTATATATTTTAATTGATACATGTTGATGTTAATAATCACACAGATAATGTAGTGGGGGTAAAGTTGATTAGGGACCGCTAATTTCTCCGAATATCTAAGTTTGAGTTGAGTTGTTCTTCTCAGCACAAATAGCAACTCGTAAGAAGGCAGGCTCCGACGATCAAGTCAGTGATGTCCTTGAGTGGGGAAGTGGTGAACTGAGCAAGTTCTCAAGTGCAGTGGAGAAAAATTCTGAGAAATTACTTACCTTTGTATTGGGAATAGTTTTTCCTCTTATAGCCATGTAGGAGGGACATTTTAGTCTTTCTCAACCGAGTTTGAGCTGGCGGCTGAGTCAGCGTCGACTTTATGCGTGTCAGCTATGGAGTGGTCACGGAATGGACGTTGTCACTTCGGTATTAATGAGATAGGATAGGCGGCGCACGAAGCCGGCGTGATCCGATGTATCATAAATAGTACCGGAGATGGAGAAATGATGGCGCCTGCTAGGCATTTAATGTGATGTCGATGCGCTGTGAACAGGGGGTTCGAGGTCGAAGTGGCATTTTGACTTGTATCGGAGGGTGTCGAGAAGTAACGCGTTTCGAGTCGACCCAACGATACACCGACTAATAAACTGGTTGAGTAGACTTGCAGCGAGTCATCTTTGAGAGAGGTCCGACAAGTACCGCCATTCAATTCGACCTAGCGAGATGTGGACTTGACGAGTCGGGTAAGTCGGGACTCTGGCTGTCCTAAGTGTCGAGTTGACTGAATGGTGCGTGACGGGGGATATTTGCCTATTGTTGGCAAGGGGCCATAATTTGGCGACTAAAAATACCATAACAGTTAGCCCATTTCTCCTTGAGTTGGCCTAGGTCGGGTCCGAGTGAAATGAGAATAGCTTTCGACGGATCGGACGTGCATTAAATGGGGGAACTTAAAAGTATTTTCAGATTTACAGTGGCTGACATCACCACACATTCTTTTTGACAGCTGCAGCCTCGCTTTTCATATCGGATTGCTGGTTATAAGAGGTTGGTGGGTTGCGCCTTGATCCCGGAGATATCGCTTATTCCGAGAGTTAATCTTGTTGGTCTTTTTGTTTTGATGATGTTTTAACAAACAATTTATAACTAATATTTTTTGTCTAGTGTTTATGTTTTCTTATTTATTCTAGACAAACAATGAGTTGGAGGATGGATGGAATCGATCTTTCACGATCATATCCAATGGAGGTTGGAGGAATATCAGTATGAAGCAATGCAATTCAAGTTAAAGATTCAAGATCAAGCTTCATCCACAACCAAAAAGAGCTTATTGAAGATCAATATTGCTTGGGTAAATTAGTTTAGGTGTTATATTATGTGTGTTTAATACTTCAAGCTCAATATCATATACAATATATATGAGATTAATGAGTATCCTTGTCATAGGAGGGGATTTCCTCCTTGGCGTCTATGTGGTACAATCCCCACCATCCTCATAAAGTAGGAGAGAGTGTGTGAGTTAGTGGGGATTTGTGCCTACTTTATGAGGATGGTGGAGATTGTGCCACATAGGCGACAAGGAGAGAAATCTCCTCCTATGATAAGGATACCCATTAATCTCTCTCTCTATATATATATACACACACACATTTTAGTTTTTGGTTTTCATGTTTATATAAATATGAAATTACATATTTCATATTTATTGTTTCGTTTTGGTTTAGCTTTATAGATAGTTTTTGGTTTTCATGTTTATATAAATATGAAATTACATATTTTATATTTATTGTTTTGTTTTGGTTCTTGGGTAAATTAGTTTAGGTGTTATATTATGTGTGTTTAATACTTCAAGCTCAATATCATATACACACATATTTTATTGGTTTCTATGTGTGTGTGTGTATACACACACACACAATTTAGTTTTTGGTTTTCATGTTTATATAAATATGAAATTACATATTTCATGTTTATATAAATATGAAATTACATATTTTATATTTATTGTTTTGTTTTGGTTTAGCTTTATAGATATGAAACAATAGTTATATTCATACACACTTTCACATGTTTTATATTCTATTGCTTTTGGAAAAATAAGTGTTTTGTATTTTCATGTTTTGGATATTTTTGCAAAATGATGAGATTTCTCTATTGGGAAGTGCAATTCTAAAAAAAATTGTAACATATTTATTATCATGTTTATAAACATTTTCCTAAGTTTTATATTTTTTAGAATTTATTTGATATTTTTATCAATGTTTAAAAGTTAATTTTTGGACAAGCACAGTCTCTGTGCATGTTCATAATCAACTTATCAAGGTTGATAAGTTGAGTTATGAAACGCTCTGGAATGTTCATTTTGCCGCTGCCAAGTCGACTTATCAGGCAATGCAAGTTGACTTATAGCAAGTCGACTTATGACATTTACAAGTCGACTTATGAGCTGATTTTTTGATTAACGGCTAGTTATAAGTCGACTTATAAAAAGGCGTAAGTCAACTTATAACACCATAACGTCTATATTTCCAGACTGTATTGTTTTCGGGTTTTTGATCTTTTTTGCTTGGTTCTCTTGGTTTTTGGGGTTTTCCTTGTGATCCTATATATACCCACATATATCCTCAGTCCAAGAATAAATGAAAAAATGTTTTTAAACAAGTTTAAGAGTTTTAAAGTTTGTTTAAAAAGAATTTATTTACAAGAGTTTATTTGTGAAGAAAATTTCACAAGGGCTTGAGGAGATCATCATTTGTGTTTGAGCATTCAACTCATCTTCCTCTCTCTCTTGTCATCATAGAGAAGTTTTTCTAAACTCTTATCTAGCTTTTTATATTGTTTTTTTATTTCCATAAGCTAGAATTTATTTGAGTTTAGATTTGTTTTGATTATACTCTTTGTTCACACATAACCTATTGAGCTTATTGTATTTGCATACATAGTATAATTTTGGGTTGTGGGTTTGTGACTTAGAGAGTGAGCTTTCATTGTGTTCTCATCCATTATAGAGAACAATTTATTTGTATTCGTGTTTAGTTGTGAGATACACTTTGTAATACACTTGTACACCGAGAGGAGTGTATGATGAGAGATGGGGTCGTCCCAAGAGGAGTGGCGTCGATAGTAAAACCTAGGGAGAGGTTGTAAATCCGAGCACTCGAGGGAGACACGGGCTAGAGACCAACACTTAGAGGGTATAGAGTGTGATTACAAAAGTATTGATTATAAAGTTTTCGATGAGCTAGAAAACCGAGTGTGAGGTGTAAACGTTTTCGGTTGAGCATCGAAAACCTGGTGTGATAGTGGATTTCTTCCCGGGAGAGGGAGCGGACATGTAGGACGGAAGGTCTGAACTCCGCGATCATTTGATTGTGTTTGAGTTTGCATTGGAGTTCATTTACATTTGTGCTCATTGCTCATATCGTCATTGTCTCGTTATTTAGTTTGTCCACTATATTGTTTACATTTGTTTGTTTCACCCTTATGTTATTTGTATATCCTTGCATATATATCTTGTCACATATTATACTTGCTAGGATATTTATTAATAAGTTTTAATTGTCATAAAATCGGATTAGATTAGCATTAACCATATTCACCCCCCCCCCCCCTAGGGTTCTTTCCTAGTGACTTTAGGGTCTAACAAATCTTGGCTGTTAGCCAAATTCTAATCCGGCCATTCAGATTCCGACAGTTACGGATTCTGCTGTCTATATATAAGGCTAGGGCTAGGAGAAAGGCAGTTATTGCTCTTTGAAATTCCTTTTGAGAACTCGAGATATCTTTTCTGTACATCTTCTCTGACGATTACTCACCCATCTACAATGACATCTGATCTCGTAGATAGACAAGATTTATTCACAGAATTCCACTCTAAAGTGACCCAAACACAGATGATGACGCTCTATGAGAGATTTAACATGCCCCGAGAGTATGAACTGATGGCGCCACGAGGTCGGAGGCCGTCTATG